CTGCACCGCCCCCCATATCCCTAACTGCTGTCTTAAGCCTCCCCCCCGCACACACACTAACCCCCTGTTCCTGAGCCCCTCACACTTACAGGTATTGTCATATCGCACCCCCCAACTCCCTGACCTTAGCGATAAGTACCAGTAAGAAACTTAAGTTACTTTCACCTGCTGGGGCAAAGGCGCAACAGCAAAGGGATGCAAAGCAGTGGGGTCAATGGCACAGAGAGTGGTGTCCATTGGCCCCAAAAAAGCATGGACAAAAGACTCAAGCTCTGGCCTATTGCTTCCAGGAATGGTGGCCCTGGTAGCAGAACAGACAGACCCTGTATTGAGGCAAAAGACAGGACTTCCTCAGATCAAATTGTGGAAGAAAATTGGCATGACCATAGATAGCAAAGGAATACAAACAAAAAAAAGTGAATACATATAAAATAGACAAATCAGATTTTAGTAAAGACGGGGGATGGGGGGAGGTTAATGTCTATGAGGTAATGATATTAGAGGTGATAATTGGAGAAGCTATCTTTGTAATGAGTGAGATAATTAACATCTTTGTTAAGCCCCATTCGTAAAGTGTCTGACAGACAGTTTCACAAAGAAAAAACAGTTTCTTGCCATTTCAACCAGCCCGGGCATTGTCTCAACGATCTTACTACCTGCTTCAAAGAGGCTTTAACACAAGACTTCAAAGAGAAGCCTCTGAACTCTCATTCATGCTTAAATTTGACACTTTACGAATGGGGCTTAACAAAGATGTTAATTATCTCACTCATTACAAAGATAGCTTCTCCAATTATCACCTCTAATATCATTACCTCATAGACATTAACCTCCCCCCATCCCCCGTCTTTACTAAAATCTGATTTGTCTATTTTATATGTATTCACTTTTTTTTGTTTGTATTCCTTTGCTATCTATGGTCATGCCAATTTTCTTCCACAATTTGACCTGAGGAAGTGGGTCTGGCCCATGAAAGCTCATCACCTAATAAACCATCTTGTTAGTCTTTAAAGTGCTGCATAGTCCTGTCTTTTGTTTCAGCTAGACCAGACTAACACAGCTAAATCTCTACCTGTATTGAGGGTGCTGGCTATATCCCTCGGGCACGCTAGCTCCCAGACTGCACTTCCCCATGTGACCACTAGGTGTCTCTCCAAATCCTCCCTTGCACGAAACAGCCAGAGCTACACTGAAGTCATGGGGCAATACTACTGTTTATGCCTGGCAGCGCCCCTTGGTGTCAGGGAGCCCTAGGAGCCGCATTCAGATGGAGCATTGTGAATATTTGGGGAATGGTTGCTTGTTCCCCATTTCCAGCTGCTAGAGGGAGAAACAAGTGAGTGAGTAAACTTTACGACATAGAAACAAAACCACGCGAGGAGGCATTTTAAAAGGCACCCGTGAAATCAGGCATCCATAGTGAAACTCATTATACAGTCTTGAAATACCACAGACACGCAAACCCTGCTCACATTGCAAGGGAATGGAGGATTGGAAAAATAATAATAAATACAGAGACAGGAAAACTCATAAAAGCAGCAACAGTTCCAGGCTGGATTAAGCGATAGACGCTACTGGCCCATGACAAGGACTCCGGCTCCCAGAAGCAGCTCAGGTCTCACAGTTCTAGTCCTCATGGATGCAAAGAGGAAATAACCTCTATTTCAAAAAAGCCAGTGATAGAAGAACTGAGGAGTCCTGACTGTCAGGACCCCAGCTCTAATCCTCACCCCCTCCTCTTCCCAGCCTGCAGATTTAACCCACAATCACACTCCCTGCTGAGACAGATGGGAAGCTGGTTTAGAAGTTCTGATCCTGCTGCTGCAAGCGCTTTAATGAAGGCGGATTGAAGTCCTGCAAAAAGCTCCTCCTGCTCCCAAAGCGCGATGGCAGCTCCTGCCTCCTGGCCCAAAGGTCAGCCCTGCAAGGAACGAGAGACACCGGCATGATTCTGGAGGAGTGGGAGGGGGATAGACGCTACTGGCCCATGACAAGGACTCCGGCTCCCAGAAGCAGCTCAGGTCTCACAGTTCTAGTCCTCATGGATGCAAAGAGGAAACTTGACAATGTGGCAGGAGTGCAACTGTTTTAACACTAGATCCTACAAGCCAGTGATAGAAGAACCGAGGAGTCCTGACTGTCAGGACCCCAGCTCTAATCCTCACCCCCTCCTCTTCCCAGCCTGCAGATTTAACCCACAATTTTACTGCCTGCTGAGACAGATGGAGGCTGGTTTAGAAATTTTGATTCTGCTGCTGCAAGCGCTTTAATGAAGGTGGATTGAAGTCCTGCAAAAAGCTCCTCCTGCTCCCAAAGCACGATGGCAGTTCCTGCCTTCCAGCCCAAAGGTCAGCCCTACAAGGAATGAGAGACACTGGCATGGTTCCGGAGGGATAGGAGGGAAAACACAAACTCCCAGGAGAGTTTGGATCTTGGCTGAGTGGGATCAGGTCGTCTGTGCATGTGGATTCAACCTGGACTTGAAGCTCCCAGAGTAGCAGATGTCCATGTCTATTGGCATCACTGGAGATTTCCCCCAGGAGCAAACCCTGCAGCCAGATGCACTGGTGCCAATCAACGTCTCTCCTATCCCCACCGCTTGTTGGCAGGGGCGTAGCCAGGAGTGTGCTTGGGTGGGCCTGGGCCTACACACTTAGGGTACGTCCAGACTACATGCCTCCGTCGACGGAGGCATGTAGATTAGCCAGATAGGCAGAGGGAAATGAAGCCGTGATTAAAATAATCGCGGCTTCATTTAAATTTAAATGAAGCCGCGATTATTTTAATCACGGCTTCATTTCCCTCTGCCTATCTGGCTAATCTACATGCCTCCGTCGACGGAGGCATGTAGTCTGGACGTACCCTTAGCATCCAGGCCAAGCCGCCCACAGCTCTGTCTCTGTCCCATTGCAGCATGGGAACTTGCCCTTCTCCACCCAGGGTTCAGCTGGGCCAAGAATGTGGGGTTGGGGGCTCTGCAGTCCCATGCTCCTTACTGGGAGCAGACTTGAGGGCTCGCAAGCCTCCATGTCCTGCTGGGAGTGCTGGAGGGTGAGCAGGGCTGGAGGGTGAACAGGTGTCTGTGCCCTGACTCCCCCCCTCCCACCCACCCCTGAAGATAGACAAGGGCAAACCCCTGCAAAAAACCCATTCCCAGCAGAGGAGAGAGGTGGGTGGGGGTTGCAGGGCACGGATATTTATGGGGCCTCTGGCCAGAGCATCTATCCCTCCCCCTCTTCTAAGGCTGGCAGGGGGAGAGGCAGCCCCATGGCTGCTACCCCTCCGGTCATAGCTCACCCTATGGTCCCATAATGGCTGATAGACAAGGGCAAACCCCTGCAAAAAACCCATTCCCAGCAGAGGAGAGAGGTGGGTGGGGGTTGCAGGGCACGGATATTTATGGGGCCTCTGGCCAGAGCATCTATCCCTCCCCCTCTTCTAAGGCTGGCAGGGGGAGAGGCAGCCCCATGGCTGCTACCCCTCCGGTCATAGCTCACCCTATGGTCCCATAATGGCTACCCCACTGCTTGTTGGCCTCACGTACCTGAATCCAGGCTAAGCCCAAATATAGACACGCTGCTCCACAGCCTTCCCAAAATGGCTACCCCACTGCTTGTTGGCCTCACGTACCTGAATCCAGGCTAAGCCCAAATATAGACACGCTGCTCCACAGCCTAGAATAGAACCCAGTAACCCTGCCAGAATCTAGCCTGTGTTCTGGTTGCACCTGGTGATGAATCAGTGAAGATCTCAGGGCCATCGGCTCTCTTACCACTTTGCTGCTGGTGGCTAAAGTAGACATGGAGACCTCCGAGTAGGACTTGGATTTGCTGGTAAACCATCGCTTGTATTCCTCCTGCACCTGGAGTCGCAGAGACAGACAGTGGCGTCACGCCGCTAGCACATGGGAGATCTCTTCTCTCAGCGCCTTAGCCCCATTTCTAACATGCGCATCACCTCAGCATCTCGGCATTATGCAAATCAACAAGAGCTGCATTTAATCCTGCTTGATAAAAGGGAGTCGAGTCCCGATGCACTCGTTGGGGATCACTCGCACAGCGAGACTCACGGCTATTTATGGGATTCTCAGGACGCCATTTTCCCCAGCAGGGGAGCCAGGCGGATTGTTTCAGGGAAGTTCTCCGGGGAACCGAGAGGCTAAGTGGTTTGACCAAGGAGCCGACAGCACCGCAGGGAATTGTGCCCAGGTCTCCTAAGTGCTAAGCTTGAGCACCAGCCTCTGGGCTATTCTTCCTCTCTCAACAAGGGGCATCTTCAGTGCTCTGCTACTGGGGATCCCTGGGGAAAAGGCTGGGGGGATCTTGCACAACACGCTCAGTGAAGCATTGTTGCCCGCTCTGCTCTCCTGTGGAAGGGGCACTGCCAAGTCCGGGAGGGGATGAAGGATCCTGGGGGTACCTGGCGATTGAGGAGGCAGTGCACCAGGAAGATGAAGACCCCCTGCAGGCTGTTGAGGATGGTGAATAAATACGCCATGACCACGGCGGCTGGGCCGGTTTGGAGGAGACCGAAAATCCACGTGCAGCCCAGAATGAAGACTTGGGCGATGGCTTTAAAGGTCAGGAGCCTGGAGAGAGGAAGACAAAGAGATCCCATGATGGCAGACCTCTGGGAGCAGCTGAGTCTGGAGGGTCCAGGCTGAAATGACAAATGCTTCTAGAGAGCAAAACTCCATCATTGCCCTGTACAGGTGTGAGAGCGGCTGGCCTGGAGACTTCGAAAAGGCAATGCACAAGCTGCTCTAGTTGAATGAAAGAGTCAAGCCTCCCTAAGGGGGGTGGGAAAGATTTGGACCGTTTGGCTCAGGCAAAGGGGACCCTGTAACATGTCCAGAAGTGCTGGCTGTGGACACATATAAGCACAGCGAGGGGAAAGTCCCCTGAGAGCAGATCTCCACCTGGTTTAAATCAGGAGATCACATAGAGAGACAGAAGCTTCTACCACCGGAGGGTCTGTCCATCTTGGCTTCACAAGAGCACCTGTCTCTGCACAGAGTGTGTTCTAGGGACTTGACCACTCCTCAGATGAGGGACACATACAGTGGTGTGTCCGGCACCACTCTTAGGGGACAGTCTATCAGACTGAGGAGCCCCAAGAGCTGGCACAGTGCTCAGGGAGGCTCAGAACTCCTACAAAATTATGCTGCCAGTAGCAAAGCTAGGAATTGAACCCAGGAGTTCTGACTCTCAGTTCTATCCACTTGATTCCACTCCACACCCACAGCTGGAGTCAGAACCCAGCAGTCCGGACTCCTACACTGCCCCTCCCACTTATCATTGAACAGGAGAGATGGGGTAGCTCAGTGGCTTGAGCATTGGTTGGCTAAATCCAGGGTTGTGAGCTCAATCCTTGAGGGGGCCATTTAGGGATATGAGGCAAATCTGTCAGGAAGGGGACTGGACTTGATGACCTCTCAAAGTCCCTTCCAGCCCTATAAGATAGATAGGTATATCTCCATATAATATAATAATGTCCTCAGCTCTGCTTTTAAGACAATGTTACCTGGTGTCTTTGAGGGTGGACACTTCAGAGTTGAGACTGGAAAGTTTTCTCTGCAGCATCCAGAGGGTTATGGCAAAAAGGACGGAATTGATCTAGAATCAAAGCAGAGTAGGGTCACTCACCCCAATTTGTCTCGGGCTCCAGGGAAGGGAAGGGATGGGATATGATAGGCAGATGGGGGGGGAGGAGCAGCTCTACATGAGCACAAGCAGAAATTGTCACCATCAACAAGAGTGTTGCTATTCAGTATGATTATTCAGTCAGCTCCCCAGCTAGTGCAAATCAGCACTGCACCCCTGAAATAAATGAAGCAATACTGACTTATAAGCAGAGGATCTGGCCCAATAACTGCAAGTCCCAATAAGATGTGTGTGCTACACCTTGTCACACAAGCTGGCTTTCACTGGCTTGAGCTGGGAGCACTTATCACTCCATTCCCTATTGAGCCAAAACCCTCCTAGGCATAGACCCCTTTGAGGTCTATAGCATTAAACCAGGGGATGACTGGGACAGGGTGAGACCAGGCCCTAAACCCCTCTGCTGATGGCTTTTGACCTTGACGAGGTGTACCGGTAGTTCGGAATAGGAATCCTAGTCCGAACTACCTAGTTTGAGCCCCGTGTAGCCGCGCTGCACGGGGTTCGAACCAGCGGGGTTTTAAAAATGGCTGCTCCCCGCTTATGCAAATGAAGCCCAGGAAATTCAAATCCCGGGCTTCATTTGCAAGTGCGGTATGCCTACATTACCCTCCTAGTTTGAACTAGGAGGGTACTGTAGACATACCCGTGGAGACCAGAACAGCAGTCAGTGTCTCTGGTGCCCTGAGGTGTGCAAACGGGACTGGCTGGCTGAGAGAGCAGCAGCACCATGGACAGCTCAGTGTGGGGCGCTATTGAAGATGGATTATGATGGGCCCTGCTAGATGTGGAATGCCCTGAAGTAAGGGAGAGGACTTTATCTCCAGGAAGGGAAGCCCTGCTCTCTGGGAAGCGAGAGGGAGCTGAGCAGAGGGCACAGATGTGGGTCCCTGTTAAATAGGCCTCCTAGGAGGGGTCTGAGTCACATGGGGTGTGACTTGGCTGGAGGACTGAGTTGCCAAAAGGCTTTTAAAAGGAGACAGATGAGGGACCCACGGAAACCAGGCAGAGCTCCAAACCTTGCTGTCCTGAGGCAGGCAGCAGCACCAAGCCACAGTGGATACCTACCCCCACAATGGCGCACACCGGCCCCAGGAAACTCCAGATGAACCCCCTCTCCATGCTGAGCCAGCAGCTGCAAGCACAAAAGTTTAAAGTGATGTTCATTGGTCAGCAGCAGCCAGGCCCAGCATTTACCACTGATATCATGCTAACCTAAGGGACAGGGGCCCCACTGGGAACAGGTACAGAGACTGTCCTGTTTAGATTGTGCCATTCACAGCTGGATCAGAAAGACGGGGGAGGTGGAAACTGAGGCAGAGAAGGGGGCTGTGACTCATTTTGTGGCAGTTCTCTGGTCTCTGTCATGCAGGAAGTCAGACACATGGTTCTTCTAGCCATAGAATCTATTAACTTTAGTCAAGGCCACCCGGAGAGTGAGAAACAGAACACGGGGGTTCTGCGCGCCCCAGTCGAGTAGAAGCTAGAAGTTGATTCATTCACTCATGAAGGACAGTCAGCAGCACAGCTGTGAAGACCGACACCCACTGGTCCAGAGCGCCTTTCACTGGGGAATGCCGGGACACACACTCATGCACACAGCGCTGGCATAAGATTGGACCGATTCTCTTCACTCCCCTCTTCCCAGTCAGACAGCATCAGATTAAGTCAGCGAGGCTCCTGCTGGCTAACTGCCTACTCTTGAATGGACTTATAGGGCCCCTTTACTGCAGCATCTAACAAATCTTTAGTCAATTTTCTATCACACGGCTCCAGAACTCTTGAGGCAAAATAGATTCAAGATTAAGGCAACTTGTTATATGGGAAAACTGAGGCATAGAACAGTTAACTGGCTTGCTCAGCGTCAAGCCTGGGACTCAAACCTGGGTATTCTCTAACCACTACACCATCCCGTCCATGCTTTAGCAGCTCCAGTAATCACTTCTCTTGCCTGCCATAGCCCTTTGGCATGATGGCGGCCGAGACAGCCACCACCAGGGCAGGGAATCCGTAGCCGAAGAGGCTCAGGAACCGCATCTTGGGGCTGTGGGTGCTGAAATAGTTGATGACCCCGAGGTTGCGCACGGTGAGGAAGAGCACCACGGCCTCCAGGAACATCCAGGCGAAACAGGCCAGGAAGAGGTAGTGCAGGAAGCCAGCAATGACGGCACAGCCCACCTGGGGAGAACAGTGGTGGCACATCTTTCATTTCACAGTCTCTACTCCACATCCCAGGGCTGGACCCATCTGCATCATAGAATCACAGGGTTGGAAGAGACCTCAGGAGGTCACTGAGTCCGACCCCCTACCCAAAGTAGGACCTACCCGAACTAAATCATCCCAGCCAGGGCTTTGTCAAGTTGGGACTTGAAAGCCTCTTAGGATGGAGATTCCACCAAAGCCCTAGGGAACCCATCCTAGTGCGTCACCTCCCCCACTGCAACTTGAGACCATTGCTCCTCGTTCTGCCACCTGTCACTACTGAGAACAGCCTCTCTTCAGCCTCTTTGGAACCTCCCTTCAGACAGTCGAAGGCTACTATTAAATCCCCCCTCCCTCTTCTCTTCTGTAGACTAAACAACCCAAATCCCTCAGCCTCTTCTTGTAAATCATGTGCTCCAGCCCCCTCATCATTTTTGATGCTCTCCGCTGGACTCTCTCCAAAGCGTCCACATCCTTCCTCTAATGTGGAGCCAAAAATTAGTCTTAATATTCCAGATGTGGCCTCACCAGTGCCGAACAAAGAGGAATGATCAGTTCCCTAGATTCTTCTTGGCTACAAGGGCCCACTGTTGATTCATATCCAGCTTCTCATCCACTTTAATGTACAGGTACTTTTCTGCTTAACAGCTGCTTAGCTAGTCGGTCCCCAACCTGTAGCTGTGCTTAGGATTCTTCCGTCTCAAGTGCAGGACTCTGCTCTTACCATGTTGAACCTCATCAGATTTCATTTGGCTCAATACTCCAATTTGTCTACCCTCCAATGTATGTATTTCTCCCCCTAGCTTAGTGTCATTCGTAAACTGTGAACTTGCTGAGGGTGCAATCCATCCCCTCCTCCAAGTCATTAATAAAGATGTTGAAAAAAACCAGCCCCAGGACCGATCCTTAGGGCACTCCTCTTGATATTGATTGCCGACATCCTCTACCTGCCCAGGGACTACCCTTGTGAAAAGGTGTTGCTCCAGGGTCTCTTCTTTGCCTTAAAGGATAGCTACATGCCCAACAAACCACACGCCACATACCCAACAATCTCTCACTTTTCAAACAAGGTCAAGAGCATTACCCCTGTTTTACAGATGGGAAAACT